GGGTGAGTTCAGTCGTTTGGGAGGGGCTCCAAGTGCAGCTGCTACTCCTCTACGTCGAAAGGAGATGGTTAAGGCTGCCCCCAGGTGTTATGGGAGGAGCATGTCATACTGAGAGGAAGCCTTAATACGCTGGAGCAATTACATCTGCCTTTTAAACTCTTTGAACAGAATGAGCTGCACAGTTTGTGTGTGCGTCCACTAACGGAAAGCTTCTGATTGTGAGGCAGCTTCAGGCTGACACGTGTTTGACATGTTTGTGTTTTCACTCAGTCTGTTCCAGAAGGTGAATGGTTCTGTCCAGACTGTCGACCCAAACAGAGATCCAACCGCCTCCCCTCCCGTCAGCGCTCGTCTATTGACGAGGAGGAGGAAAGAGACTATGATGATGAGGAAGAGGAGGAGGAAGAGTCTGAGGAGGAGGAGGAGGAGGAATCTGAAGAAGAGTCAGAGGAGGAAGAGGAGGAAGAAGTTGTCGCGAAGTAAGTGTTAAAAATAAATCAATAAATGACCTCGTTCTTCAGGGATGAATCGTTCTGGAGCTTTTCTTTTGAATCTCTGCAGCCCTAAGAAGAGGCAGACTGCACTCCCCAAGGGCAAGAGCCAACAGGCCACGCCGAGGAACAGCATCACCACGTCAGGGAAAAACACGTCAGCCTCCAAGTGAGTGTCTGCCATAGACCTCTTAGGTCCTGATGGCAGTTTTACAATATTCCCTGACCTTACCTTTAATTCCATTTTATTTATAGTCGCCTCACGGCACTTTATATTATAAAGTAAAGACCCTACAATAATACAGAGAAAATACCAGCTTCATATGACCCCCTGTGAGCAAGCAGTTTGGTGACAGTGGGAAGGAAAAACTCTCTTTTAACAGGAAGAAACCTCCGGCAGAACCAGGCTCAGGGAGGGGCGGGGCCATCTGTTTCCCCTTTGGGGAGAGGGGAGGAAGACAGGATACAGATGTGCTGTGGAAGAGAGACAGAGATGAATAATGACTAATAAATTAAATGCAGATGCAACATGAAGCAGAAAGTTAG